AAAACATTTACTGATAATCTAGTAAGCAGACAACTCAGCTAAGGACTTTTCATAATGCCAGGACTACTGCTATTACCCAGTACGCATCTTCAGACAAAAATTCTGTGTTTAATTATGAACAACAACAAAAATAGTGATCCTGGCATATTTTTAGATTTGACATTTTCTACAGTGGGCAACCAAAGTCATTTCACTAGAAGAAAATATTAAACTACAAAGAAGAGAAATGTCATGCTTCATGCATAAATGCCATGTCATGTCGAGGCCTTTTTGTATGTAAGTTGAAGGCTGCAGTTTTTCTAATTAGTTTATAGGATAATTTCTGCAGAGTTATAATAAGCAAGTCTAGAAAAGATCTCTTTACAATAAGTCTTACCACTGTTAAGTTTACGCCATGATGATCCCTTGTGATCCAGATGTGATTTCCCCAAGAAAATTAGGACTACTTATTCCAAACTGACTTCACTTGTAATGGTATCATCCATAGATTATCTTCCCTATTTACAGCTATAAATTATGGCAAACATTTGTAGGAACTTGCAATTTTCATCGGGCTCAAGACAAGAGTTTATCATCTTCCCGCAGAGAACATCCCATTGCCTATCTGTTGACTTACTCCACACAAAATGTTTATCTCATTTGCTGCATGTATTGAAGGAATAACACAGTCTGTCCTGTAGCAGCGATGGAGAAGAGTTCAATATAACTGGACAAGCTACCACAGATAAATCATCCTGTTTCTCAGATAACATGCAGACTGTGCACTCCCAAGTCCAGATACCCCTCTCATTTCATTCATAGGAATGCTTTGGTTTGCCTCAGTTCCCTTTGTTTAATGTTCAGATCCTTCTCTTCAGAATTCAGAAAAACTGAAATAGCAAACTTCAAGCATCACACTCATTCCTAAAGTGATATATAGTAGTAATTGGAAAAACACTTTAAACAATAAACTGCAAACCTTCTTGCAAAAGGAAAATGTCCTCTACTGAATATTTCGTATTTTATTTTTCAAACTCAGAAAAACCTAGGCAACAACAAAAAAAATAAAATATATGACTGTTTAGGATAATTTCACTAGTAATACTGGCATTTAGATCTTCAGAACTTAACTGATTCTTTTAGTCCAGTGTATTCATTTTTTCTCTCAGCATGTACACTCAGAAATCCCATGTTCTAAGATTGTCAGGTTGAATTCTTTGCTGTTTATTGCAAATTGTGATTAATCTGTAGTGCTATTGGATCTGAAAACTAAGCGAATAGCTCGTCACTGGAAGTTATTTTACTGAAAAAGTGTCTCCCCATATGTACCAGAATTTCCTAATTACCTACCTATGAAGGTGACATAAGAAGCCAGAGAAAGGTTTATCAGCCCCAAATTATCAACATACTCATTTCACTACAAAGTAAGAAATTGTTAAATGGTTATTTTCAACGTACAGCCTCTTCCTAACAAACTTATGCACATTATTCATTGGCTTGGTCTTGGGATGGTGTCACAGTAGAGCCGACAATAAACTTTATTTCAAGATGCTACTGTTGACCTGAACAAAATTTGAAACCAGGCAATGTAGGGCTACAACAGACTCTATCCCTGTGTTGTAGTTTAAACCCAGATGGTAAATTAGTACCACGCAGCTACTTGCTTACACCCACCTCCCTGGGCAGGATAGGGAGGAGAATGTAAAACCCATGGTTGAAATAAGAACAGTTTAATAACTAAAGTAAAATATATTGATAATAGAACAAATATCAACAATACCACCACTGATAATAGTAACAGGAAAAAACAACAATAAAAAAAGAAAAATTAAACTTTAGAAAACACAAGAGATGCCCAATACAATTTCTCACCACCTGCTGACTAATACCCAGCCCGACCAAAGCAGCGATCTAGCCCTTTCGGGTAACTCCCCCCAGTTTATATACTGGGCATGATGTGTGGTGGTGTGGAATACCCCTTTGGCTAGTTTGGGTCAGGTGTCCTGTCTCTGCTTCCTTCCGGCTTCCCGTGCACCTCTTTACTGCAGAGCAAGAGACTGAAAAGTTCTTGACAGGGGTAAGCATTGCTTAGCAACAACTAAAACATTGGCGTGTTATTAGCATTGTTCTCTGACTAAATCCAAAACACAGCAGTACACCAGCTATGAAGAAGAAACATAACTGCTACAGCTAAAACCAGGACACCCTGACATTAAATTTTCATTCACAGTGCAGAATGTACTTTTGTTTTCATGAAAACAGATGGGCTCAATATGAAAAGAACAGCATTTAAGGTTAATCAGGATTTATTTAGACTGATGCAACCCCACAGACATGTTAGATGAAAAGTTCCCCAATAACAGCTTATGTTGTGAAGACTGTACAACATGATTCCTGCAGTATGAATCCAGTTTTAACAACAAACATGTTTTACTCCTTCCTGTTGGTTGATTGCATGAGAATATGAGACTACTACCATGGTCGTATCTTCACGTCACCAGATCCACAGAACCTGAAGAGCTGGAGACACCTCTGTGAAAATTCTGAAGCAAAACTATAATTGACTCTATTAGCTCAAAAGATAACGTTCTGCTACACACTTGGTCCCAGTCCTCCTTTGTTCTTTAGCAGGTGAAAAGAGGTCAAAAGTATGAGGGCATGCTAGCACAAAGGTCTTCTCACAAATTTGGCTGAGGAAAGGGGAAGAGAGCTCTATTATATAAATTTCTGTATATGTATTTGTATGTGTACGCGTGTGTGTGCATGCATATGTATGTATGTTTGCTCCACACACGCGTACACATACAGAAATCTATATACACAGAAGGAAAATCTGCGAAGAACTTCTTGAATACTTGCTGCCCTGGGAAGGGGCTGCCTTCTGCAGGCTTCTGAACTAGCCACACAGACACTGAGCACCAGTGTGGGGTCACTTTCATGCAGTACTTTTGCTAGCAAAGGACAAAATAAGATGCTCACTTGTTGAAATACTTTTGTATTTCAGTTAGTTGAAAACCTTACCATGCAAATTTGCTGTGCTGCAGTCAAACCCTGATGTATGGAGGGACTTAATGTCCTCCTGGATGACAGTATTTCCACTGCTACTTCTCAGAACTTTGTCTCTCTAAAGACTTTTAGGAAAGATTTGTTTGTTCTCACAGGACAGTTCTATTAGAACTGTGAAAATATGCTTAAACTGGCATGGATAAACTTATTTGCAAAGCTTGCTAAAAACACAGGTTGAAGTCCCGCTTCCTGCTGGTGACTACAAGTCTCTATCTGGCTGGAAAAGTCAGCTGCTTTGGCCCCAGCAGCATCTTCATGACAACATGGCGTTACAAACCTCGTAATTTCATAGAATCATAGAATGGTTAGGGTTGGATGGGATCTTAAAGATCATCTAGTTAAAAAAAAAAAAAAAAGGGCAAATTACTATGTTTTTCTTTCTATTTCCTTCTTTGTAGTTCATGGGTCTCTAGCTAAACGGCTTCTTAGAAGCTAATTACCAAGCAGAATAAACCCTATGGCAAAGCATCAAGATTTCTCCACTGGCTGCTTCAAATAATAAACTAGACATCTTTACCTCCCGTACAATATTGTTCCCTTACCAGTGTTAGAGGAACCTCTGGGTGAGAAGCAAGCATCATCATCCTCAATTCACAGACCTAAGAACTGAAGCACTTAAAGGCATAAAAAGGATTGAAACAGTTACAAGGTAGGAAAGAAGACACTAAGAATGATGTTAAGTCCCACATGTGCTGTCAACTACTATCAATGGTATCTCTCACATGATATACTGAAACACTGACTGTACCACTGTACAAACTGCTTGAATAACTGGCACTAAAATAGTCTTTTGTAAACTAACAGCTGTGTTATTATGTGATTAACTTATCACACTGACCGAGCATTCACCTAGCTCCTCTGCATTGCTTCATTCATTTCTCCTCCTTGTTCTCAGCAGGCTCTTTCAGTAGCTAAGTGCACTGAGACAGATGCTTTGCCATTTAAGGCATTCCTGCAACCATAGAAATTTGGCCTATATCTTCCAGTGTGGCTACACCAAAGCCCAACGGCTAAACTTCAAGTCTCAAAATAATATTGCCTCTAAACCATGGGAAATTTTAAAATATCAGCTATTTCCTTATAGCTACAGCTGCTGGTGTTCATCTCATTGCATTTCAAGGTGGGCTGTAATTTGTAAGCCAACTAAGTTTGTGGAGACATGCTAACACATAGTGGTCACCCTGTTCCTCCTAAGGCAATACATCCTTTGCCAGCTTGGTCCCCCAGCTCTTGCAGAAATTCTGTCTTTCTTGGAAGAAGTTTCAAAGCATGAAGAATGGGTACACAGAATGAAAGCTGTAAGGGTCAGGTTTATCAGCCATTAGCATCCTTCATCATTATGGAAAGGTGGACCCCTCTTACGTTTCAGAATTCTTTAGAGGAAGGCAGAGGTCTTTTCGTAAGACAGTAAAGCTGATCTGCTGCTGCTGCTTGTCCACTTTCTTTCTGCCACACATGGTTCCCTGGCATTTCCACAGTCACAGTCATACCCTGGAGCCCCATGGTATGGAGTGAAAGTGTAATACTTGTGAGTATCAGTCATCAGATAACATAGGGTCAGAAAAATATTTTTAATGAGGAAATGTCAAAGGAAAAAATCTGCTTTGCACCCCCCCCCCCCCCCATATTTGCCCTTAGAACAAAAGAAAAGAAAATCAGCCCCCTTTTTTTTAAACTCATATAGCTCTATTAGAAATGAAGGCTGTTACTAATTCCTGGGTGACCTTAACTGCCAGGTAACACTTCAAACTTTTGCACTGTTTTACTAATCCTTCTAGACATTCTTTGTTTCACAGTCTTTCTGAAAAATGTAACAAGTATGGCTCAATGACAATGCAACACCTTCCATCCCGCCTATGCTTATGTTTTGAAGATCTGTAGTAACCCCAGCATCAAGCATAGTACTGAGTATGCTGCAGAAGATAATAGTCAGAACCTAATTACACAATTATTCCCAAATCTCCTAATCTTCTGTCAGTTGCAATTGGGCCATTACAGGTATATACACTCCCAGATGACAAAAGTAAATATGTGTATTAATTGCAACATGATTTTTCTAGTACAAGCTAGAACCATAGTGCTTCTGGGTGAAATCATCATAATTTTTCTTCTGCCAACCTCATTTTTTTCTCCCGTATGTTTTTGTGTTCTGATTTACTGACTTCTGCCATTAGTCAGTGCTTGTCTGACAACATAAACAGCAATCCAAGTTGCACATTTTCCACCATCCTGCCTGACACAAAATAATTTATCATCCCTTTTAAAGACAAACAGTATCTGCAAAATCATTTCAAGAATTACGGTTTCCTATCCTCCCCTCCAATATCTTATGCTAATAATACTGAATAGGTAACATATTTGGGGCATAAAGGCCACTGCAAATGGCCTTCCCCTGATTATTAGGTAGGTTATTATTATTATTATTACTATTATTATTAATACTATATAGGTTCTGCAAGTGTCCCAAGACCCAGATGTGGAGCAGTACTCTATTAGAAAAAACACCAATTATATACAGCCTGAAGCTAGGGACCAGGTTAGGAAAGCTAAGGCCCAGTTAGAATAAAACCTGGCTAAGGATATTAGGATAACAGGAAGGGATGCTACAGGTACATAGCAAATAAAAGACTAGGGAGAACGTAGGCCCCCTCAGGAAGCTCTCAGGTGAACTAGCTACACAAGATGTGGAGAAGGCTGAGGTTCTGAATAACATCTTTACCTCGGTCTTCACTGGCAAAGGCTCTGACCACACCACCCACGTCTTGGAAGGCAGATGCAGGGACTGTGAGAATGAAGACCTTGGGCCCACTGTAGGAGAGGAACTGGTTCGACACCATCTTAAAAATCTGAACATGCACAAGTCCATGGGTCCTGATGAAATCCATCCGCGGGTCCTCAAGGAGCTGGCGAATGAAGTTGTTAAGCCACTGTCCATCATATTTGAAAAATCATGGCAGTCAGGTGAAGTTCCCGATAACTGGAAAAAGGGAAATATAACCCCCATTTTCAAGAAGGGGAAAATGAATGATCCGGGGAATTACAGACCAGTCAGTCTCACCTCTGTGCCTGGCAAAATCTTGGAGCAGATTCTCCTGGAAGGCATGCTAAGGCACATGAAAAACAACAAGGTGCTTGGTGACAGCCAGCATGGCTTCACCAAGGGGAAATCCTGCCTGAGCAATTTGGTGGCCTTTTATGATGGGGCTACGGAACTTATGGACAGCAGTAGAGCAGCTGATGCCATCTACCTGGATTTGTGTAAAGCGTTCGACACTGTCCCACACGACATCCTTGTCTCTAAATTGGAGAGACGTCAATTTGATGAATGGACCACTCGGTGGATAAACAGCTGGCTGGATGGCTCCACACAAAGAGTTGTGGTCAATGGCTCAATGTCCAGCTGGAGACCAGTAATGAATGGTGTCCCTCAGGGATCAGTGTTGGGGACTGGTCTTGTTTAACATATTTGTTGCTGACATGGACAGTGGGATTGAGTGTGCCCTCAGCAAGTCTGCTGATGACACCAAGCTGTGTGGTTCGGTTGGTATGCTGGAGGGAAGGAATGCCATCCAGAGGGACCTTGACACACTTCTGAGGTGGGCTAATGCCAACCTTATGAAGTTTAATCATGCCAAGCGCAAGGTCCTACACCTGGGTCGAAGCAATCCCAGGCACAGCTACAGGCTGGGCAGAGAAGAGATTCAGAGCAGCCCTGCGGAGAAGGACTTGGAGGTGCTGGTCGATGAGAAAATGAACATGAGCCGGCTGCAGTGTGCGCTTGCAGCCCAGAAAGCCAACTGTATCCTGGGCTGCATCAAAAGGAGCGTGACCAGCAGGTAAAAGGAGGTGATCCTGCCCCTGTACTCTACTCTTGTGAGACCTCACTTGGAGCATTGTGTGCAGTTCTGGTGTCCTCAACATAAAAAGGACATGGATCTGTTGGAACAAGCCCAGAGGAGGCCATGAGGATAATCAGGGGACTGGAACACCTCCCATATGAAGATCGGCTGAGAAAGTTGGGACTGTTCAGCCTGGAGAAGAGAAGGCTGCATGGAGACCTCATGGCAGCCTTCCAGTATCTGAAGGGGACCTATAGAGATGCTGGGGAGGGACTCTTCATTAGGGACTCTAGTGATAGGACAAGGGGTAATGGGTTAAAACAGGGGAAGTTTAGATTGGATATAAGGGGGAAATTCTTTCCTGTTAGGGTGGTGAGGCACTGGAATGGGTTGCCCAAGGAGGTTGTGAATGCTCCATCCCTGGCAGTGTTCAAGGTCAGGTTAGACGAGGCCTTGGGTGATACGGTTTAGAACGAGGTGTCCCTGCCCACGGCGTGGTTGGATCTAGATGATCTTAAGGTCCTTTCCAACCCTAACTGTTCTATGATTCTATGATGTCCCTATCACAAAGACTTCACAGTCTTTAAAATTAAACTGTCAAGACTAGACTGTCAAGAACTACAATTCCCCACATGTAAAGAACAGGACTGCCAACCAATAGTGTTAAAAAATCATGAGTCATTCCCTAAAAAATATTGAGGCTAATTTAAACATCATGAGATTAAAAAAAAATAATAATTAAGTACAAAAGATGAGTTCTGCTTCCCTCCAAAGCACTTACATTGCATTACCATTATATTTTTTAACTTCTTCACACTGTTGGTCTAGAATCCTAGGCAGGCAACTAAAAAAGCTGAGGCTTAGCCACAACCTGCTAATACTCTGATTTTTTGTGATAAAGCTCCTGGTGACAAATTGGCAATGCAATGATTGTTCAGATCTAGCTAGAAAGGATGTCAAGGACAGTGAGTATTTTCAAGCTCTTGAAATAAGCCAAAGGTCAGATCGTGTGCTTGTAACTCATTTTTGAGAGTTGCATAGCCAATAGTTTGGAACGTCTTTTTCCACTTCACCCTCCACATCTTTGGGAATGTAACTTAACCTATTTCTTCAAACTCGTTCAACATTCTCCAAATTAGTGTTCACCCACGCGTACATTTCAATGTGTTGCCAAGAGACTTGAGCTTTAAAATAATTTTGTCATTTGCTATTATTATCTCCTATCAAGATAGTGTTCTGCTTCCTTATGTCTTCATTAAAGTCCCCAAATGGCGTGTAGGTGAACAAAGCCTTTCAATTCCACTTATGCCATTTTTGAAGAGTGGTAAAGAGTAACTGTCTGCAAGAATCAATAATTGTATAATTACATATGTGTTAGAGTAACTACATGTATGATGTACCACAGTGAGTCATTATGCAGAAATGCTGGAGCAGCAGTAGAATATTGTCCTATACTTTGTCCTTTGTTTACTGTCACCATATATTAATGCATATACACTTTGCACACTGTGGAGATAAAATGATGTTACACCAACATGGCAAGGCAATACCATCACCTTCATTTCAGGAACAATTTATCATTCTACTAATAAAATGGTATTCGTTTAACATACTTTTACCTCTCGGTTTCTCAAGATCCTAAGAGCTGATTGCAGTACAGTGAGGATCCAGCTTTCCCACATGGTCCTGGAGGTCAGCTGTCAGTGCGATTGTGAAGTAACTCTCGCTCTGGGATGGAGATGCCTTGTAGATAATGGTGTGCCAAAAAGCAGTGTTAAGTATCTTTCTTCTTTTGCAACAGCAAATAGCAAATCACGTCTGCAAATGACAGTGCCCAATCCATGATCCAAGAACCCTGGAAACATGTATCAGGTCCAGTTCAAATTCCTGTTGGTAATTTGCCTTAAATCATGTACATTTATGAGTCAGCAGGTGACAAGCTATTGCAAAAATCAAAAGGTCAGCCTCCACTCCACACAGCTGATGTATTTATCTTCTCTAAATATCCTATCTTACTCACATCTGGACCTCCCCGCTAGTGAACTATGTAAGCTGACAGTGTATAGTGAAATATGTGTTGTTCATACTCACCCTTGACATTTGTGTATTTATGAAGGAAAACTGTTTGTAGTCATACTGGTCTAGCTCTTTCCATGGACACCTAAATGGTTGAATAACTAAGAAAAATGGAAGAACCATTTTGAAAACCATTACCATAATATGCACATGGATTTATACAGCTGCTGGCTGTGTAAATCACTTCACAGGTGTATCATCATATTTACTAGGCAAAAGAGAACTGCTGAACTTTTTAAAACACATCTGCCCTTGATGCCTTTCAGAGCATGGCTTTCCTTCAACCCTCTGTAACCAGTACATCACTACCATTTAAATCTCAATTTGTAAAACACATTTTCATGCCACCTTTCCACTCTGCTTGGGACTTCTTATAACATCTTCTTACAATGTAAAAAGTCTTCAGCCAGGCAAACGTACAAATGTTGTATGAAACATTTATGCTACTTCAGAAAAAGTTCAAAGCATTTTTCACTGATAGGAATTTCTTTAATTATCACATGGGCATGGGCTTTTCCAGATTCCATCAAAATCTGTGACAATATTCACAGTATTCTTACTGGGATCAGGAACCCTTGAAGAAAAATAGAAGTGATCTAGAACACAGTGTTCCAGATTCAAGGTTTTAAAAGTATACCATGCACCAATTTGAAGGAATTCTAATATGTTTTCATCATTTCTCTTTTATGTTAGTTGGACACAGGTAGGTTCTTCTGATCTCTCAGTGAAAAATGGCTGATAAAACACTAATGTTTAGTTGAGATGGAAGAAAACTCGGTTTTGGTAGAAAAAAGATACTCAGCATTAGAGACCTATAAACTAGCAAATAAAAAATCCCATCTACCATCTTCCTCCTAGCTGTGATCCCGTTGGCTCCAACATAACTGAAAAAACCCACTGATCTGCCACAGGATTTCAAAGAAAAGGGAAGGAAAGGCAAAAGGAAAGGGAAGGGCAAGGGGGGAAAAAAAAAGGAAACCCTCCTCTCCTTGTTGCTTTTAGGCCAAATGCAGACTGTTTTACCTATAATGTATTTTGACCAATAACTCCATAATTCTGAAAAAACTCGGTTGAGGAAAATACAAAGAAGAATAACTGATTTGATAAGGTTTAAAGTGTCTTTGGCAAGACAGTAGAAAAACCTGTGCAACCAGAAGATAAAGCAGCTACTGGCAATCCTACTGGAAACAGATAACAAGGATCCCTCTGTATATTCAGAACCAGCTATTGGAATACAAATACCTTTAAAACTGAAAGAGTGGGTTGGATTTGTTACATACACCAGTAGGGGATCAGGTAGCTCAAATCTAACCTACACTGGATTAAAGAGGAAGCGGACCTCTATTACTGCTACAAAACCAATATCCCTCAAAAAATAGAAACGAGCACCCCATCAGCTCTGCCCCTGGGGGCAGTTAGAGCATCTGCAAAAAAGATCCTGAAGGTCCTGTTGATTTACTTAACAGGTGGGCTCAGGACCAGATTTTCTTTTTTTCTTTACCCAGCTATGTTACTTAGTATATATGGTAGTTGAACTTTGAGGTCAGATGTCAGGAGGCACAGGCTCTAAGCTGTAGAGGAAAATCCTGCAATTTTGGGTGCTTACTACACTAAAACATTATTACATATGTAAGAGACAGCTTTGTGCATTACCTAGAGACTCATTTGGCTCTTCACTGAACTCTATCCACAATCAAACTCTTCACTTATGTCTCTTATTTCAGCCTTCCTATTTAAAGAGTAGAAACAAAGCAAGTTGACATTGCTAACAGCCTAATTCTGGAATTCAGAGATACAAGCATTGTGCTCAATGGCTCATGCTTAGTGAATACCAAGAAGATTTTACTTCCCAACTTACTGTATTCCAAAGACAAAAGAATTTCAGGTATGTGAACCTGCTCAAATAAGTCCAGAGAAGTGCCATGAAGATGATCTGAGGGCTGGAGCACCTCTCCTGTGAAAACAGGCTGAGAGAGCTGGGCTTGTTCAGCCTGGAAAAGAGAAGGCTCAGGGGAAACCTTGGAGCAGCTTCCAGTGCCTAAAGGGGCCTACAAGAAATCTGGAGAGGGACTTCTTACAAGGGCCTGTAATGACAGGACAAGGGGGAATGGCTTTAAACTGACAGAGGGGAGATTTAGATTACACTTCACTATGAGGGTGGTGAGGCACTGGCAAAGGTTGCCCAGAGAAGCTGTGGCTGTCCCATCCCTGGCAGTGCTCAAGGCCACATTGGACTGGGCTTGGAGCAACCTGGTCTAGTGGAAGGTGTCCCTACCCATGGCAGAGGGCTGCAACTAGATGAGTTTTAAGGTCCTTTAAGGTCCTTTCCAATCCAAACCATTCTGTGATTCTATGATTCAGTTACTTTAATGATAAAAGAATCCAATGCAATAACATAATCCAATGTCAAATGTTGACACCTGGAAATGTTCACAGTGCTTGGAAACAATATCCTTCCTACTGGATTATTTTCTCATTAAGATGAGATATTTTAGACAGGAATTGATTACTCTGTTTTGAAATTTTGTATATGCTCCCTGACTTAATGTATTCAAAAACAGTTGCAAACTTCCCACCTGGTGGACTGGCCTCAAATGAAAAAAAAAGCAAACTCAAGTTACTTTACCTGCATTCAGCATATTGGCACCTGTTTTTTGAAATCTTCGCAAAATACTGTTGTTTTATCAAAGCATTTAAAACAATGCAATACCCACAGTTTCAGCAATTTCCTGCTGTCACCGTAAGCTATGAAGGCACTTCATTAGTTTTCCATGGATTATATCAACTGTCATCAAAGCTTATATAAATAATAATAATAGGCTGACCTAGGTAGAAAAATCTGAAGACTAAATAAGTAAAAACTCAGTTGCTTTTCCCCTTTCTTAACTACAATCTCTGAAGGTATTTTTTTTAAGGAGCATGAAGCCAGAAGTTTTCTCTTGCAGTGTGCTGTGGACTACACTGTACTGTGTACTGCTTCTCCCAGCACTGAAACACTCAAATGCCTCAAAAAGCTGAAAAGAGTCCTAGCCTGTGACATTACTTGCTATGTTCCTAAGTAATTTACTTAAAATGCTGTTAAGACAGCTCTGCATATTGGAAATGAATCCTGAGACACAAGTCTACATACATATCAGGCCACCACGTAGTAATAACTCATCAATATAATATTTATTTATGTATTTATATATGAACCTAGGTCAACAACAAAGTAACTGGGATTATCTTAGCCTTCAAGAAAAAAATTATCCATGTAAATGCATGTCACTTCTGCCCAGGGAAATGTTCAGATTTTCAAGCCTAATTCCTCTGTATGTTTCACTAACATAAAAAAAAAAAAAAGATCAATAAATAAACACAACTCCCCACCCCATATTGTCATGCATACAATCTTATCCATGATCTACTGTAAGAACTTTGTAACAGTGAGCAATATAGCTAAAGAATGTATTCCTGTCCTCTGTACACATGAAATTCATTAACATTTTTTCACACATACATCCTATTCATTTCACAGTTATTCCAGGTGTCTTGAAATCACACAAAACTAAAAATGGTTTCAATGGAATTTAGATTCTATGATTCTATAATTTTTGTTTGCTGTGCCTGACAGCTACACAAGCAGCTACGTTCCCAAAGTAATAGTTCTTTTGGTCCTTATCCATAGCTGAGTCAATTTTTAAAATAACTTCAGCATTTCAAGAATGATCCATGGACTTGGGCTACCTTTAATTTTTCTAATTTTATTGAGACACTTTTATTACTTTTTTGTTGTTGTTACTGGGTTTATATATATATATATATATATATATATATATCTCTATATATCTTCATACAGAAACTGCCAGCTTGATTTTCTATCCAGGATCAAAGCCAATGTCTGTCACACTGTAATAGGAAGATCAAATTAAAACCAGCTTGCTCATCAGGATGTTTAAGACATCTCTCACCTGCCTAAGTATTTTTAAAAATGCTTGTTTAATTTTCTATGGATGCTGGTAAGTTACCAACTTCATTTTTGCAAGGTCATATCCATGGAATTATATTTGATGAAGTGAAAAAAAAAAAAAAGAAAGACAAATTATTAAGAAAAAAGACAAGATTTTTTTGGCATGCTATTTTCAAAAAATATTTTTAGGGAGAAAGCACTAGCAAAAAGAACAGAAGCCTTGTACAGACAGGAAACAAAAAGTATGCAGTGGTCTTTGGTACAATTCAATACACATAGTTCTACTGCTGAAGAACATGAAAATATGTCTCTACCCTTCACAAATTATATAGCGTAATTATTTTTTTTCTAAGCTTGCACAACTCTTTTAAAATACTGCAAACTCTAGGAAGGCATTATCAGCTACAATCACATTGCTTTATACCAGTAGTAGGGCATTTTTTCATGATAAGAGTGCTGCAGACAATTCTAGTTCTCCCCAGAAGGTACTAAGAAATACTTGAGGGGGGAGAAGGATACTTAAAGAATTAAGAGAAACATACATGGAAACTCCACAGAGGAAGAAGTAAACTCTAACTTAATTTTAGATAGTTTTCAGGAGACATTATATTGCAGTTATTTCCTCTAGCTCACCAGAAGAGCTCAAAAGAAATGCAAAGTTGTAAGAAGGAATACATGAGACACAGTGAACAGGCACAAAATTAAAGGAAGGCCTAAACTCTGAAGCTGTCTTCCAACTGATTTTGTTGCTACTGTCCAGAGGCACCACTTCCTGGGACAAATCAGATCTTTTACTTACTGAGAGTAACATCTGAGATTCCCAGTATATGTGTGAGAAAGTAAGAACTTACACTCTGTGGCAGTGAGAGCCAAGGCCAGACCTCTTCTGCACAGGGTAAGCCTGATTGTTCCCACCCTGAAACCTTGTGTGCCTTTTTTTTTCCTGTACCTCTTTAGTGCCACTCATGCTTTGCTATGTGTCTGTACGGGAGTCTGGACATGGTGTTTCTTCCTGTTTCTTTGCACTACTTATTTTTGGTTATCTTTCTCTCTGTTTTTGTAACATGGTGGTAAGCCAGCTTTCCTTTTAAGTGGTCTGGAACATTTTATGATTTAATAAAGTAATAGATACTTAGACATCCACTACCACAAGGCTTCCTTTTATTTTTTTAACTAGATTTTCCTGCTGGTGAGAGGTACAGACAAATTACTGCAGATGCTCAACACATTTGAAAATAAGGACACGTTTTTAGGTGCCTCTATATAAATTCAGGAGCCTATATGCAGCTGGCTGAGGATTTGAACCCTTGGGATAGATGATAGCTCTTGCTTTTCATCCAGGTGGATTTCAGTGCTTTCCCCTACCTCAGAAAGGTATACACTTGTCTGTTTCCTGAAGCTGTCATCTAAAACATCAGGCCCATGTGAAGAGCAAACATGACCTGGTTTCAATTGCAGTTTTTGCTGATCTACCGCATGCCTTAGCTACCTGGTCATCACGGATGGAAACCATGCAAACTACACTAGTGTACATTTTGGGATGGGAAATGTCAAGTGCAATTAAAGGAGGTAAATTAAACTTTAATTCTGCACTCTCCTTCATGTCATAATGTCATTCAGCAAGACAAGAGCAGTTTTGTTTTGTTTTTTTTTCCCCTTGCATTTACCGATTGATCTCCAAGTCTGCAAATCATAAACAGCAAGCTTATTACGCAGAAATCCCTTAAGGAATTGGGTCCCAATATCATATACACTCTTAATCATGCTTGTGTGGGGGGAAGGGGAAGAAGACCATTGTCAAGGACTTGCACTGAGAAATAAATGCTTCTTCACAATTTCTGTATTTAAATGCAGTGGGAAATCCTACAAACCACTTCTGTACTCTCTACCCCAAATTTTCTCACCGGCAGTACAGGGCAGAATATTTCCCCTTAATATTTAATCAGAGCTTATGCCCAGCGTAACTGCTGGTGGCTTTTCAGGTGCCACCAACACCCCGGACCAACTTCTCTGCCTGGAAGCATGGGCCTCTTAACACCACCATGCAGAGCATGGAGGTTCCCTGGCAGTCTGCGTGGCAAAACAGGCCTTGCCACGGGACAACCTCCCCTCTCGCACGGGCGGTCATAAGGCATCAGGATCCTATGTCTCTCTGGCACAAAACCCATCAGCCCGGCTATCTTGGGAACAAAAGCAGAGAAGCAAGCTGGCGCAAGGAGATTTGGGCATGGCACCCACCAGCCACGGCCGCGGGCTGTCAGCCTCTGGCAGGGAACATCAGCCACCTTTGGTCCTTCCTCCCTTTCGTCCTTGCCTTTCCCTGCCCTCTGCCCGGGGATGCTGGGCTAGGAGAGGCGAAGCGCTCCGGGCAGCGGCGCCTGGACCTCCCATACCAGCGCCCCCGCAGCGCGACCCCACGGGCTGAAAACCCACCAAAGAAAGGCAGCTGCAGCCGCGCCTCTCGCCACCGACCAGCGGGGCTGGGCGGACAGGGAGGCGGGGGCTGTGCTGCTGGAAGGCGGGCGCGGGCCGGGCTCTCCCGTTGCCAGGTGAGATGCAACGTCTCCGCCTTCCCTTAGAAAGCGCGCAGCAGCGCGGAGAACACGCAGTCGATCAGGGAGCTCGGCTCGCATCCGGTCACTTCCCCTCGCCTCAACTCGGCTCGGTTCGATTCAACTTGACCCGATTGCGCAAGGCGTGGAGCGCTCCAGAGCCGCTGCCCCCCGCTATGGCGAAGACGGACAGGAAGGGATGCAGCTGCCTGGCGTTCCTGAAGAAGAACTGGCTGCTGCTCAGCACGGTGGCCGCCGTGATAATGGGTGAGAGAGGGCGGCAAGCGGCAGGGAGGCAGTGCTGCGCCGCTCGGCCTTGCCTGGCACGTTACGGCCGTTCCCGTCCCAAGGCCGGCGCGGCGCCAGACCGGGGCCCACAACGCCAGAGAGGGGCGCTCCGCGGCAGCGGACCAGGCCGGGCAGCGCGCGGCCAGCCCCAGCCCGATCCCTCCCGCTGCTGGTGCCGTGGAAGCCTTTCAGCGCTTAACGGCGGGCGAGAGGGGACCGGCTGCCCTACTACCTTGGCGCGCAGGCCGGCTGAGGTGCGCCGGGGGCTGGGGCGTCGCGGAGCCGTGGTCGCGGGGAAGAGGTCCGCAGTGGCGTGGTGCTGTGGCGGCCGCTCTGAGCGGTATTTCGCGTGTGTAAACGCAGCGGTCCCCGGCTCCCAGCAATAGGGTCGGCGGCGGGGTGCCGAGATCCCGGGTCTCCTCTGGGCCCCGCATGCCTCCGCATGCGCCCCTCTGGCCTGTGTGACAAAGGTCTGGTGACTAGCAGGCCAAAACCGTGTTGCGAAAAACCTGCAAGCGCACCGGTTGACTGCGAGCCCTTGGTGCATAGGTGCTGCTCCATGGGAGGCTGTGTCCTGGGGGCGCAGCTTGCCGAGTCAGGGCGGGCCGCGGGTAGAGAGGCGGGCTTTGGCTGGTCTTCAGGCTGGAGTAGTGCCGATGTGGAGGCTGCTGAGCAAGAGGGTATTGTGATGGCTTTGGGTGCTTCTGATGGCCTAAGCAAGCAATACGGCTGGAAGAGTTCTGCAATGCCACCCAGCTTTCAGTGGGGTTTTCAGGGGTGATGTAAACATAGGAGGGTATCTCCTGTGCTTGACAATTATCCGGAGGAGCAATGAGTTGAACACCATCTTTTTCAGGAACAGGTGTGCAAAAGGGCCAAAAGAAGCTGTCAAATGACTTGGCTGAGAAGACTTTTCCATAGGACGTAATTTTGGTCGGTTTTTTGCATGTCCTTTTCATTTTATCTTGGTGATTATTTTGATGCAAAGCAAGGATTGCTTCCTTTTTCATTATTGCTCCTCTAGAGAAGCGCTGTTTTAAGTATTTCAGTGAGAGCAGTTGCTGTTTGATGGGTTTCTTTCGGATGACTTTTATTGCTAATAGGAGCTTTGACTGGAACAAATATTTTTTTGTGCATGTTTGTTCAGGAGAGGATTATTCTGTTGGAATTCCAACCAGCGATTTATAAGATGTAATTAGAACTGTACTTATTACACATGTGTTTTCCTCCACCCATTCAGTATTTGAAAGATTTCTTTTCACCTCTGTAGTCAGTGGAATGCTTTTTGTGAGTTCATATACCGAGTGCTAAGGGCTTGCTTTGAAAATCTGGCTATACAAGTGCTGGAATTTGTGTCTGTTTCTGTGTGTGTACAATTGTTTTTTCAGGTACTCCTGCCAGGTACAATTCTGTGAGTTAGAATCAGAATAGTTAGGGTTGGAAAGGACCTTAAGATCATCTAGTTCTAACCCTGCTGCCTTGGGCAGGGACACCTCCCACTACACCATGCCACCCAAGGCTCTGTCCAACCTGGCCTTGAACACTGCCAGGGGTGGAGCATTCACAACTTCCCTGGGCAACTCATTCCAGTGCCTCACCACCCTCAACAGTAAAGAACTTCTTCCTAATGTCCAATCTAAACTTCACCTGTTTAAGTTTTAACCCATTGCACCTTGTCCTATCACTACAGTCCCTAGTGAAGAGTCCTTCTCCAGCATCCTTGTAGGCCCCCTTCAGATACTGGAAGGCTGCTATGAGGTCCCCACACAGCCTTCTCTTCTCCAGGCTAAACAGTCCCAACTTTCTCAGCCTGTCTTCATAAGGGAGGTGCTCCAGTCCCCTGATCATTCTCATGGCCTCCTCTGGACTTGTTCCAACAGTTCCATGTCCTTCTTACGTTGAGGACACCAGAACTGCACACAATGCTCCAAGTGAGGTCTCACAAGAGCAGAGTAGAGGGGCAGGATCACCTCCTTCAACCTGCTGGTCACGCTCCTTTTGATGCAGCCCAGGATATGGTTGGCTTTCTGGGCTGTGAGTGCACACTGCAGCTGGCTCATGTTCATTTTCTCATCGACCAGCACCCCCAAGTCCTTCTCCACAGGGCTGCTCTGAATCTCTTCTCTGCCCAACCTGTAGCTGTGCCTGGGATTGCTCCAACCCAGGTGTAGGACTTTGCACTTCTCATGGTTAAACTTCATGAGGTTGGCATCAGCCCACCTCACAAGTGTGTCAAGGTCCCTCTGGATGGCATTCCTTCCCTCCAGCGTATCAACCGAAACACACAGCTTGGTGTCATCAGCAAACTTGCTGGGGGTGCACTCAGTTGTTGGCATACTTGTGTGCTGATTACAGAAGTGGTTAAGAAATACTCCTTTCTTATTATCTTAAGTGAATGTAGGTAGAAATGAAGTGTGTGATGTGATCCTAGAAGCTGATCATTCTGAAATGAGATTTCTTAGAGAGCTACAGAGCCTGGCAATGTGGACACTGGGGAGACAATTTGACCCTAATCCCCTAATGTGGGAAGTCCCCTAATGGGTCTTGACCGTGAGAGTGACAGGCACCCAAATTACCTCTTGTGTTAGTGGAGTTCTCTACCTGCTATGCTGTAATTAACAGTCCAGAACTCACGGGAGCTCTGTAATTTGGCAGAGAGAGTCTTCAGAAAAATTCCTTGAGCTTTGGACCAAATTACATTTTGCAAGAAGCCGTGTATCTGCTGCATTGTCAATATTGCATGGAGCTGAAGTAGGTTATACAAGGAGAACTGTGAAACCCTTGTAAGGATGGCTTGGTGGAATTGTGTACTATCTTTGTATTACAGCTTGAGGAAAGTTTGTAATATACCTGGAGTCCACAAACCTCTCATAATTAAACTTCCATAGTTATTTTTTTTTAAAATACATTGGGAAATTGCTCTGAGCTTTATTAATCTACTTAATGTGGAGGAACAATTTAGCATTCACCATCACCAATTTTGAAAGCAGAAAATATGTTTAGACATAGGAGTGGAAATACTACATGCAGCAGGTGGTGTAAATGTACCATGAAAGTTGTCCTGCAGTGCTGCAGAGTGCCTGATACTCCAGCATCATCCTATGGAATCATGATTTTTGCTCATTGCTATCAGGGGTTTGTTCAGCGTTCTAGTGCAATAGGCTTATCTTTACTAGAATTGTTACTGAGCTGGAAAGTATTCATAATTACTTGCTGTGTGCCCCTCTGACAAGAGCAGACAAACATGTAGAAACTCCTCAAAATTTCAAACACTTTTTCCTTGAAGAGTAATTATTTTCTGTTACATTTGAAGCATTCAATTAGTTGCCTGTCATTTACATTTTCAAAAAACATTGGAATTGGGGGGCGGGGGGGTATTTAAAACCTGTGCACAAAATATTGTAAGAATGTCACATCATTTTGGTGGACACCTCTGATAGCCATGAAAAGAGAACACAACCAAAACCTGTACCTCAGGAGGCTGTTTTTCTTACCTTAGTAGAGATTCTGTTTCAGACCACCAAATTGATTTGGAGAGATCGGGAACTCAGATTTGGAGTCTAAAACGGACTGAATTTCAGATTCAGGGCTAATTCTGAGGCTTGTGGTTTGTATAATTTACGTGATGGTTGCGCCTGAATATTGGCCCTGGGAAGTGAGTTAATTGTTCATTAGTTCTTAAGGCATGCGGTGGGTCATCTGTGGTGACCAGTTCCTCAGAGGTGAGGGTCAGGCTCTTCTGTGCCTCCCCTGTCCCACTGCCCTTTTCTGGGAGGCAGAGGGGCAGAGGAGTAGCAGCCTCAGAGGTGCCTGTGAAAGAAGGGGTAGCTTGTATCTTTTTGCTCCTTTGGCCTTACTGAGCCCAAAGCAGCTGATCTAACAAAATCTGTTTAAAAGTCAACTTGCTTCAAGTGCTTCTTCAGCCTTTATAAAGGAAGTTATATTGCTTCTAATTTGCACAATCAAGTCAAAATCAATCAGAAATATCCTTGAAATTTACTCAGTCTGAAACAGGTTTCCAGAGGACAGTTGTGAAGGGAGAGTTTTAGGACCATCAATTTTTTATCATCACTTCATCTCCAAGAGGTCATTGCTGCAATGCAACCAAACCAGTCATGGAGGTAGAAGGCTGACGATGCGTAAGTACTTGCTCATTTGTTGGTCTGTGGGGCATAGCCTACTAGCTTGTAGTCCTGAACAGTTCTGCAGCAGAACAGCTTTTTTCTCACAGTGAGAATTAAAGTGTAAGTGGTTTGAGCGCATGTGGTCTCTGGCATTGAGGTGCAGCAGTGCTCTATACTAACGCAGAGATCTTTTTTACATACTTGCAGGCTATACACAAGTAGGTTACAGGTTTTTTTTACTAGCTACATTTTTTAAACCTGTTAGACCAGTATCATTTTGTCATAGCTCCGTTGTTCGGGAATCTGATTCTGAGGGATTCGGCTTGTGTAAATTTCCAGGTTATGTGTTTACAAGTACTGTGTTTTGTTTGCTTCTTTTTTTTTTTTCCCCCTCCCTTCAGTCGCTTAATAGGGTGTCTTTCCGTCACTACTAATTCAGAGCTTCAGATAGCTGTGAGCCTGCCTATGACTGAAGTGTTGTTTTTCCAACAGCACACGTGCAGGCTCTGGAATTGTTCAGGTGTTCACGCGGCAGACGTGAGGAGTGCAGCGCTGAGGTAGGCATACTACCCGTCACCGGGCGCCGTTTCCGCATCCCGCCGCCGCTCGCCTTTGTCAGCGCGGTCTAACGGCAGTTGCGCTGCCGCTCGCACACGCGTGTCCCGGCGCCCGTGACGCACGCGTGCGGAGAGGAGAGGAGGGGCGAGCAGGAGGAGCTGTCCGAGGTGCCTCCGGGGCTTCCGGAGGGCGGGCGGGCGCTGTGCGATCTGGAAGCGGCGGCGGGAGGAAGCGACGAGGTGACCTATCGCGGGAGGGGTGGTGAACGCCTCTAGCGTGTCCGAGTGCCTGGGATTT